ACTCAAATTTAAGTAAAAATTTGAAATTATAAAAATAAATATAATAAATCATAGGTAAAATCAAAATGAAAATCTAGTTTGTTGAAAAGATTAATAAACTTGAAGATCTTCTAGATAACATAAACCTCAAAAGAAAAGAAAACACAAACTGCTAATTATCAGAAATAAAAGGGGGACATCATTACTTAAATGATACTAAAATAATAGACACTAAATGATAATAGAAATGATACTAAAATAATAGACACTAAAATGATAATAGAAAAATATTACGTACAACTAAGTGCCCACAAATCTGGTAATCTAAGTAGACCAATTCCTTCAAAGACACAAGCAACCAAAATCACATGAGAAATAGATAATCTAAACAAGCTTGTAACAACGAAATTGCTTAGAGGGGTGCCTGGGTAGCTCAGTTGTTTAGATGTCCAACTCTTGATTTCAGCTCAGGTCATGATCTCAGGGCTGTGGAATTGAGCCCTACTCAGGCTCCACATTCAAGCAGGAAGTCTGCTGGGGATTCTCTCTCTCTCTCTCTCTCTTTCTGCACCACCCTCCCCCACTTCCGCACGCTCAGCCTCTCTCAAATAAATCTTTTTTAAAAATTGAATACATAATTAAAAATCTTCCAAATCGGAAATCACTAGACTTGACTGGATTCACTGGTGAATTCTCCCAAACATTTAAAGAGGAAATGAAACCAGTTATATATAGTCCGGAAAATACAAACAAAAGGAACATTTTCTGCCTTGTTCTAAATCAGACGAGGATTTCAAATAAAAAACAAAGACATTACAAGAAAAGAAAACTACAAATCAGTATCTCTCATCAACATAGATGCGAAAGTTATCCACAAAATATTAGCGGATCTAATCTAATGAAAACATATATGTGCAGTACAACCAAGTGGAAATTATTCAAGTATGTCAGACTTGTTTTATATTTGAAATTCAATTAATGTAATCCATCACATCAACAGAGTAAAGCAAAAAATTAAATGATCATGTCAATAGATGCAGAAAAAGCATTTGAAAAAATCCAACATCCATTTGTGATAAAATACCTCAGTAAACTAAAAATTGAGGTGAACGTCTCTAACTTGATAAAGAATGTCTTGCTTCTGCAGCACATACTGAAATTGAAATGATACAGAGAAGATTAGCATGGCCCTTACACAAGGATGACACATGAATTTGTGATATATTCCGTATTTTTATGGTGACGGTAGTTGATAATACTGTATTATATACTTGAAATTTGCTGTGAGAGTAAATCTTAAGCATTCTCATACACATACACACACACAAAGTAAATATGTGAGGTGATACATGGATGAACTCATTTGTGAGAATCCTTTCAAAGTGTGTACAAATGTCAAATCATCATCTTGTACACTTTAAATGAATTCCAATTGTATTTGTCAATTAGGCTTCAGTAAAGCTGAAAAAAGATATCTACAGAAAACATACAGCAAACATTTATAACTGTGAGAAATTAGGTACTTTTCTGGTAAGAGCAGAGTAAGGCAAGGTTGTCTGTTCTCACAACTCATATTCAACATCATCCCAGAAGTCCTAGCTAATACAATAAGGCAAGTGAGGAAAACAAAAGATTAGGAAGAAAGATATAAAGTTGTGTTTGTTTGCAGATGACATGCAGTTATACACCATGAAGAAAACTCTTGGAATTAATAAACAGTTATAGTAATGTTGTCAGATACAAGGTTTGTACACAAATGCCATTTACTTTATTATATGCTAGCCCTGAAAAATTAGACCTTGAAATTTAAAACACAATAATGATTATATTAATGCCAGAGAGAGAGAAAGAGAAATACCTAAGTATAAATATAACAAATAATTACAGGTTCTACATGAGAAAAAATACAAACTCTGATGAAAGAAATCAAAGATCTAAATAAACTGGGAGATATTCCATGTTCGTGGACGGGAAGAATAAGTATTTTGAAGCTGTCCATTCTTCCCAATTTGATGTATATGTACAAGGTAATTCCAATCAAAATTCCAGCACATAATTTTATAGATAGCAACAAACTGATTCTAAAGTTTATATGGAGAGGCAAAAGACTCAAAATAGCCAACGAAATATTGAAGTATTAAAAAAAAACAAAGTTGGAGGAAGTATAATGCCTTATTTCAAGACTTACTATGAAGCTATAGTAATTAAGACAGTGTAATATTGGAAAAATAATAGAGAAATAGAGAAATGGAACAGAACAGAGAGCTCAGAGATAGACCCATATGAGTAATATCAACTTATATTTGACAAATGAACAAAGGCAGTTCAAAGAATGGATAGTCTTTTCAATAAATGGTATTAGAACAACTGGACATCCATATGAAAAAAAAAATCTAGATACAGAACTTAAACCTCTCATGAAAATTAACTCAAAGTGGATTATAGATCTTAAAGTAAAATGTAAAACTGTAAAACTCCTAGAAGACAAAATAGGAGAACATTTAGGTGACTCTAAGTTTGGTGATGAATTTTCAGATACAATACTAAAAGCTTGAGTTGTGAATGAAAAAATTGCTGAGTTGCACTTCATTAAAATTAAAATTTCCACTCTGCATATGACACTATTAAGAAAAATAAAACTTAAGCCACAGACTTGGAGAAAATAGTTGTAAACACATATCTGAGAAAGGACTGTGTCCAACATGTAAAAAGAATGCTTAAAACTTAACAGTAAAAAAGTAAAAAAATAGACAAAAGATCTGAACAGATACCTACTATAGAACATAGATGGCAAATAAGTATAAGAAAAAATGCTCCATATTATATGTTATCAGGAAAATGCACATTGAAATGACATTGAGTGGAAATGAAATACCACTGCATACCTAGTATATTAACTAAAATCCAAAACACTAACAACATGAATGCTGATGGGGATAAAGAGGACATGGGACTCTTCTTTCTTGTTGATGGGGCTGCAAAATGGTACGGCCAACATTGGAAGACAAGTTGGCATTTTTTACAAAACTAAACATACTCTTACCGTAAGATCCAACAGTTGTGCTCCTTGGTATATACACAAATGAAAACTTAAGCTTAGACAGAAGCCTGCACACAGTTGCTATAGAAACTTTATTCATAATTGCTAAAAGTTAGAAGAAACCAAGATGTCCTTCATAGGTGAATGGATAAACACACTGTGGTACAGCTATACAAAGGAATTTTATTCCGTGATAAAATGAAGTAAACTATCAAGCCACAGAAAAGATCTGGAAGATCCTTAAATGCATATTGTTAAGTGAAAGAAGCTAACTTAGAAAGGCTACATACTATATCATTACAAGCATATCATACTCTGGAAAAGAGAAACCAGTGGATATAGTAAAAAGATCAGTGGTTGCCAGGCATTTGATGGAGGAGAGTGGGAGGAAGAGATGGAGAGGGGCTGCGTGGGAGATCTTAGAGCACAGAAACTCTCTCTTGCACAATAGGGCAGTGGTGGACATGTCGTCGTACATTCGTCAGAGCGCGTGGAACACACAAGGGAATGAATGAACCCTGACGTAAACTATGGACTTCAGTCAATAATAATGCATCAGTATAGGCTCTTTCATTGAATGTAACAAAGTACTGCACTATTGCAAAGTGTTAATACTAGGCAAATTCCATGTACTGGGGAGGTTGGAACTCTGTAATTTCTCGCAACTCCCTTTTTGTAAGTGGATAGAAGAACAAGCAACCCCTTAATGACTTCATGAGGACTCCAACCAGTCTGTCTTATTAACCTCATATTTATATTTACTGGCAATCCATTTGGTGAAATAATGGTATTTGTGAACATGAACAGGCGAAAAGTTAACCCATTAGTGGATGTGAATGTGATCATCTACTCTCTTTTGCAATTCTCTCGGGCTACTTCTGTTCTTAACTCTAGTCAAGGGAGTAATGCATGAGTGTTCCTTGCATTGAAGAATACAGTGCCATAGGAATAAAGGTCACAACATATATACTGATTCCTCAGAGAATACTAAATTCACCTGACAAGTTCTTAAATAAGAAAGCTTCATAAAAGAAGCCTCTTGTACTATTAATGTACAATTGATGATTGCAAACCATATATCTCAGTAACAGTACTAAAATGTCGGGGGGGGAGAATATTTTAATTAGAAAATATTTTAATAGCTTTGATTTAAAACTGTAAATAAACATTTAACCTAAGAAAGCATATATATATGTGTGTGTGTGTATATATATACACACACACACATATATATATGTTAGTACACAGTGTCATTTACTTTATTATATGCTAGCACTGAAAATCATTCTATCTATCTATCTATCTTCATTCTTTCCTGATAAAAGCCATGCAGAAGATAGTAGTTATGATGAATTTTGACAATGATGTCTGTAGAAAAAAAATCCATTTGTGTTTAAGTGGAGAGATCTTTCATGTATGGCTGCAGTTGAGGAGAATAGAAGTTATCGCTCAGCATGGTGACTTTCAAGTTTACATTTCATTCACTCTTACTGCCATTCGCTACTACTGTGGTCATTGTGGGAATCAGAACAACTGGAAATGAGATACACTATCAATCAGCCTCCAATACCCCATGTCCCTGCTCTACACACAGTATACAAAATACTTTCCTTACTTGAAATGGGCAGACAGGTTTGAGCAAATTAGAAGAAAAGAAATGTACCTAAAGAGTGAGCTCAGATATTTGATCACTTTCGGTAAGAGTCACATACTCAGGTGAACTTTGTGAATCATGTAATCACAGTGATTACATGACATTCTTCTCCTTCTCCTTCTTCTTCTTTCTCTTCCTCTTCTCGTTTTTTCTTTTTGGGTCAAAAGAATGAAACATTATTGATTTGTGACTCCACAGGAAGAAAATGAGTTGTGTTTGTTTGTGTGTGGGTGGGAGGCATGCAGTTTGCTCATGGTTTAAATATGTTCTGCCTCACACTATGACACCTATCGTTGTGCTGAAGGAGTTGTATTTGTCTATTTCCAGGGAGTGGCCGGCACTTCCTGTATGTCAGCTCATCTGGACACAAAGAAGGACACACGGCAAGAATCACTACTTCCCAGTACTTTCCAGCAAGTCTCGGAATATGTGCTATTCGGTTCTGGTTCTACATGGTTGATCCCAGGAGTATGGGGATATTAAAGGTACGAAAGGAAGGCAGGAAGTTTTTCACGGAAATGTTCATAGCGTGTATTTAAACATTTTTTTTTTTTAATCACACAACACGGGTGTTGAGTCCATTAATTTCTCATTTCTTTCTGGGACAGTGGGACTTTGGCCAGCAGTGCTGTCATTCATCTTAATCTCATTCAAAATTTATCTCATTCAAGGCAGCCACCTGAACTCAATTATGGTGCGTGCTATTGAAAACATCATCTAGAGATAAAAGAGGATGGACACATTCTCGTGCATCTTCTACTAAAAACTTAGGGAAAATGCAGAAATGTGATGGCAGGGATAATGATAAAAAGAATTTTCTTCCCCAAACAAAGTAAAAGCAAAGAAATTTACAATTTTAAGGATCTATCAGCTTACCTGAAAAATAACATTGTGTGCTCCATTTTTGACTAATTTAAGACAAGAATCTGCATCAGATGCAAATGTCTTTGAAGAAGCAGGTTACTGCATTTTTACTTTTCATTGTCTGGAATATCCGTAAGCTTTTCAATCAGCCTGAAGCAATTTGGAAATCCTGATTTTTAACAGTAAGATTATATATCAGAACACAATACCTGGTGTTACTGCTTTGTAATTATACAACCACGTGTTGTCTGAATAAAGAAAACAGGAATCTTTGTATCTCAAACATCATCCCTTATAAACAGTAACAGTTACTAAGTGATCTTAGTAACTGGGTATTGTGAACTTGTACCTGCTCTCTGCTTTAATTCTACCATTCATCTCATGAGGTAGTATATGCACCCCAATTTTATAGTTTAAAAACTGAGACTCAACATGGCTTAGTAACTTTTCTATTACAAAATCAATGAAAAATCTGATTTCAAAAATCTGACATCCCTTACACAGCATGGTTTCACAGGTGTTCTGCAGTCTGCCAAAGAAGTCTAGGGAGGATCCTGGGAACAGAGAGAAAGGAAAAAAAAGGGCCTTATTTGTTCTAGCCAGCAATAGAAAAAAGAGCTCTTCAAGTAAAAATGCAAACATGCAAAGAAAGTAGGGAATTTGTACTGATTCTCCAAGCACGTCTGTTTTCCTGAAAAGAAGAGGGTAAAAACAACAGAGAAAGAGTCATTTTTAACAGTTTAGAAACAAGTAAATGAAGATCCTTTGACAACTTTGGAATTTTTTTTTCATAGTTTTTAGATACAGTATCTGAAACCTCAGCAGATTAGCTTATTGCTTATGTTCCATTTTACCCAGGGTAATTTATAACCACTAACCTTAGACAGACTCCACAGTGCATTATTTCTACCGATGTTTTAAACGCAGCTTGCTGTGGTGAAAGAGGATACAAGTCCATGGTGGTTATTTATGGAAGTAAATACCAAGGGAAAGGCCAAGAAACCTTTCAACAGAACAAGAGTTGATTTCAGTCACTTCCTCTCAGAATGTTGCTTCCTTAGTTCAAAAAGAGCATCCTTATGTCCAGCTGGTTGGTCAGACCAAATAGTTTTGCACCCCCCCACCCCCACCCCGGGCAATTCGTTTGTGAGCTTCTGAGACAACTACTTAAGTTACCCATTGCTTTGAGCCATATTTCGGGAAACATGTAAACATCAAAAAGAAATGTTGGCCTCAACTCTTGATTTTTGATACCTTGATTTTGGCGACTTTTGGTTTTCCTAACCGGAGGCAGCAAGTATGCGTGGCAATGCTTTTATGCTCCGTTTTTCAGAGAGGTCTACTGGGAAGAATAGTGCTGGGGGATTAGCGGGACATCTGGTTTTTGAAGAGGAATCACTCTCCCCCACTCCAGACCGTCTTGATAGGGTTGACGGTCACTCTAAGTTTCTTTTATCACCTCCACAGCTGACCCAGGTCATAATCTTCTCCAGTAGATTATAGTTGGTGCAGATTATAGGATGATGTGTCTTTCTTCTGTTTTACAAGTCCTAAGGAGACAGACTACATTTGGGCTCTTGGAGACCATCTTTCCCAATGTGGAGAGAGAGACTGAGAAAGAAGCTAACATAAGAAGGACTTCAACTGAAAAAAAAGATGAAACAGAACAATATTTGTTCTGTTTAAATCCTGGATCCTACCTTGTCTGAGCCCATAAAATTTTCTGTTACTTGCTACTGAAAAGTCCTAACCTTTACAGAAATCTAAAAGAAACCATTTTTATAATGTATCCTTATGTCATTGACAAACATAAGGGGCAAGTCTCACTTTCTCAGCTATTGGTCTGGAAAATTCTATGTGTGTGTGGTTCTGGAGCACATGGTGCGTCCTAATTGTTCTAATCTGAAACCATTTCTTAAATTGATTGCACAAATCCTTTAGAAAAGTTATGGCAAAATACCCAAGGTGAAGTTTTATAGTAGAGGGTCTTGGAAATAGCTGGGAATTCTTAGGAGAGATTTCAGATTGTAGTTTGTGGTGGAATGCTTTCTTGTCAGCACACAATGTTATGCAATTGTATTAAGTGCTGTGCATCCCCAGCTCTTCTGTGCTTTGTTCTGTACCCAAGAGAACTACACTTCCCAGGCTCTTTGCTCTCTGCTTTCCTGGATAGGTTTGGCCAGAGCTTTCCACTGGCCAAAGACAGGAAAGCAGGAACACGAGCCTTTCTTCTCTCCCTATTCCTTTCTCCCTCCCTCCCCTCATTCCTTTTCATCCTCCTCCTCTCTTCACCTTCCCCCCTCCCCCTCCCTCCTAATTTCCCTACCTCCCCCACCCCCAGTACCTCCCTCTGCTGAGTTTCTAACTGCATTTCATTTATGACTCAGCTTTTTCCAGTTAAGCCCTGCCTCCACCAAATAAGCCTGCCAAACTCCATCTTTCACAATCTCAGTTTCAGTAACTCCCTCCCTTTGACTGTCTGGTTTTAGAGGTGTTTCCTACACATAATGATTAATCTCTAGAATGCTTCATGATTTCCTTGGCAATGAACTTTATAACCAGTGCTCTACATTAAAGTTTTTCTATTTGAAATACATTAGTCTATATTTTCTAGCTTGGCCCAGTCTGATACAGCGTCCACTCCAAAGAAAACACAAATCTTTTCAAGATAATAACTTGTAACACAATGAAAAATTTTGAGGGAACTCCAGTCAGCTTAAATTTGTCCTACTTATATTGACTTATTAAAAACTTGCCCTTCAGTTGGGGAAGACAGAAAACAAATTTAAAGAAATGCAAATATGAAAACCTCAACTTGTGATGCAATACTCTGGAGCAAATAAAACAGGTTTCTATAATAAATAGTTACTCCTGGTCTGCTGAAAGAGTTTTATTTTATACTGAATGGTAAGGAAGTCTTTGAGAAAGATGACATTTGAATTTAGGCTTGAAAAAAAAGAAGGAGCCAGCCTCGGTAACATCTGGAGTAAGAATGCTCTCGGAAGGCAAAACAAGCTAGAGAAAACTCAACGTGTAAGGTATTTGAAGGACAGTATAGCTGGAGCAAAATAAGTGAGAGAGAGAGGCGGGGGGGGGGGGGCCGGGGGGGGGGTTGGGAGAATGATGATATGAAGCAGGCTAGAGTCAGTTCATATAGGCAGGCCCTTTTTAGGAACACTTCTAAGAACCACAGAAAGTCATTGAAGAGGGTCTTAGTCATCTTGGGCTGCTACAGCAGGTTACTGTGGCATAAGCAATGGAAATTTACTTCTCACAGTTCTAGAGGCTGAGAAGTCCAAGTTTAAGGTACTGACCAATTCAGTTCCTGGTGTGGAACCTCTTCCTGGTTTGCAGACGGCTGCCTTCTTTCTCACTGCGTGCTCACCTCTAGAGAGATCATCTCTCCCCGTCTCATCTTATAAAGACATGCATCCCATTCATGGGGTTGTGCGGGGGGGCTACCCTCTTGACCTGATTGCCTCCCAAACACCTCACCTCATCTCCAAAATGCAGAACCCTGGGAATTGGAGTTTCTGCATGTGATTCGGGGTTGGGGGGAACGTGTTCAGTTGATGGCAGAGAGTATTTAATTGTGGAATAATATAACCTCATTTGAAAGTTTAGAAGATCTATCTGGTTATTCTGTGGGAAGAAATGGGGACTGGTGGGTGGTAGGTGGCTAGAGGTGTGGCAGTGAAACAAAGAGGCAAGTTAGAGGTGATTTCCAGGCTTTGCTTAGAGTTGAATCTAAGGATAAATTGGGAAGTAATTTCTATAAATAATGAATACTTAGATCTTCACCCGGCATAAAAATCTATTTTCTAAATAAAATATGCTTTAATTTATTAGTATATTAATGAAGGGCATCATATAGAGCTAAGCAGATAAAGACTTGTACTGTCAATGAGATCAGAGTGAAAACCAATTATAATTTTCCAATTAATTTTTAGAATAAAAAGCCAAAAGATTCAGATTTACCCCAGCCTGCAAAGTTGGCAAAATAGGTTGCATAGAGAAGGGTTGTATTTTATAGGAACATGGAAGCCTGATGGTAAAGGAATAATATTCAAAATAGTAAATGGATAATATTCAGAATAATAAAATGTTCACACAGGCATCAGTGTCCTTTGATTCAAAGGCTCAGAAAATAAGAGGATAATGCTAATACATACTTTATTTTTTAGGTCAGGTTTTTGTTTTTTTTTTTTCTGTCTTTCAATTACTTCCCTACATATAAAATTAAAAGCTCTCCTTAAAATGATGCTGGTCACTTTTTGATCCACATTGCTAAAAGAGCCCTAAGTGAACCAAGTAATTTCCCATGAGATGACTTAGTTCCATTAGTTCGGCTTCCTAGCTTCTGGCTTGTTTTGATACTTAGTCAACTCAGGTGAATTATTGAATGCTGACAAAAAGAAGTAAAGTTTGTCACAGGGAAAGAGAATTTCTTTAAAAATGACTAATATCTTTTTTATTATTCTGGACTCATTTGTAAAGGCACAGAAAGAAAATGAATAGGGAACTTTTATAATTGATACTTTTCATAACTTTTTTTTTTGTAATTTACAGAAATTTCTAATTGCTCAGAGGGGAAAAAAATGAACTACTTCCTAAAGTTTCC